AAATCGTTTTCTGTACTTCAACTGAATTTTCTTTGTGTTCACTGTCAGGAAAAAAGCATCATTTTGTCAGGGTGGAAATCTTTCAGTATCATGGACACTGTGAAGAACGCTCAAAGTGGTCAGATTTCTTGGATTGACCCATACGTCTAGGGACAATTGGATGATCCTTGTTTGTATTTGGAAGCTTTACAGTGTTAAAATAAATTTGTTCCTGTTCTCAACAAAATTAATACTGATTTTCTGTTTTTGGTGTAGTAGTCATGCTGCTTTCCCTCATTTTGAAATTTTACCACCTCTCTCGCGTTAATTTCCTTTATCGTGTAGCAAATTTATTTTCAAATCATGTTAATTTTAGTCACGTTAATTTCAAGTACGTTAATTAACACAAGCATTAATTTCCTATAATAAGGTATGTCTTAATTTCAGCAAGAGGATTTCAAGTTTGGGTTCTGGAGGTTTATTGAATCAGTTATAGGCTAATAATGCACCTGCATGATGTCATCCTCTTACTAGACAGTGCAAAAAGAATTCATTTTGCTTAGTTCTTTTATTATTTTTAAATTTTTCCTCCACAGTAGGGTTTAGATAACAATTTTCCTAGCTAGCATGAGAAAAAGAACCTTAGCTTCACTCTGCTTACAGCCTTCTGTTTCCTTTACAGAGTTCACTTACAAGAAGCATGTTTTTACTTACTGATAACATCCTGCACACTGTAACTTTATTACTTTCAAACAAGTGTCTTTTTCAACCAAATTATATTAACATGCTTATTTCAAGTCAACGTCAACAGACCACCATCTGCTGCTCAGCATGGTGTTTATACCGCCAGCTGCAGAGGACCTCCAACACAGGCAATCACTGCAATGAAACCACGACCATTCAGTGCGAAGGCTAGAATAACAACAGAAAGGGTTGCCGAGAAGACAACCACAGCACCTAAAACAAGACCCCCCTGGAGGCCATTCTCTGGTCATGCTGCACTTGGCAGACCAACTCCACTGATCAACAAGAATCCTGACAATGCCAATGTTATGACAAAGGAAGAACTTCATTATGACTTACCTTCACTTTCAAAAGTCTATCAAGACAGGTAAATGTCCATGTAAGGTTACAGAGAGGGAAATAGATTCTGCATGCAACTTGCAGGTGTAATCTGTGAGGTATTTTAAACTAGAATAATTTCCCCAGTGTGTATTCAAGGTGCCAGCATTTAAAGGGGAATCGTTGCTGACAGCATTGTTTAGTACATATTGCCTCATTGGGCAGCATACAAATTTCCATAGAGAAGGCATGATTTAAATTGAAGGCGACCTACTGATTAAAAACCTAAATTATATAGCAATGTGACCTTAGAAAATGCACCTAATTTCTGGGTGGCAAAAGGGACTCGATCAGTGCATAATTATGTTCTTTACAACATTTTTTTTTTTATGCTGTCACTCAATATTCAAAGTTGACTTTTTATATCTGGATCAGAGACTGACAATTATACTAAAAGGTAAAAATCATAAACAAGATTCTCCTATTGAAGAAAAAGCAATGATTTTTATCAGTCAGTGGGTTAGTTCATCATTTACTATAATGTCCTATATTATCATACAGTACATTGCTGGAAAAACTTGCACACATGCAAATTATGTCATCTAATAAACTTGCAATTGCACTTTGTTCCTTTCAAAACAGTTCATTTGTTATATCATTAATGGTTAATGATATTAGCAAGGCTAACAGGACCCAGCTACAAATTTGTGCTATTTCCTGATTGTCTCTCAGTTTTCAGAACAGATATCAAAGTGCAAGGGAAACCACTCCTTGTAACCTTGAGGGGTTGAGTCAGGCTAGGATTTTGAGATACTGATGGTGGCTTACATGTATAATTACAGGTGTCTACCCAGAGGTCTTGTAACTTTACAGGAGTGGCTGACAGAAGATGTTCCTAGTGACTGGTGGGTACAAGATGGTGTTTCCTGTTCATTTTTGTCATTAATGATGCCATGACACTTGACTAGACTAGTACGGTGGAGAATGCACAATTTGGGGATCCTGATTTTACATACCTTTTACTTTGACTCCTGTGTTTGTTTCTCTTGCAAATTTCATCATTTACAGCTACTGTATTAGTACAGCTGGTTAAATATTTAATTACTAGGATCCTGGGGTTTGGGAGGGAGGAAAGCTCAGGCTTATAGTACATGTAATGTGAATAAAGTAATTTTTCTTACATGTTCTGACTTAGGGCACTAAATCAAGTGTGTTTTACAGGCCTGCTCAGCTTACAGCAAAGCACAGTTTTGTATTCCTTGAACATGTTCAGATGGACAATCTGCAAGCTGTTCCACCTGTTCAGCAGCCTGATGATTTATTGATCTATACTCCAGTACCGCAAATTAAGGTACATTATATATTAATAAGTTGACTTATTCTTAAAGTTTGATTAGTTCTTACTTATGATCTATTAGAGGACAGAAAATTCTAGATTTGTTTCTTTATTATATAAAATACAGTGGAACCTGTATATAATGGCCCTGTATTAAGCGGTCACCCTCTATTAAGTAGCCAGTTTTCAAGGTCCGGATTTTTCGTTCACACAAAGGCTGTAGTTTTTCCTGTAGTAGGCAGCCACCTCTATTAAGCAGCCACG